AACAGCACATACATACAGAAATCCATGGGCAGAGATACCACCCGGCACCACAAACACCAAAGCAGCAGGGGAGTGGGGGGCCTCAGGAAGTGGCTTTGGAAAGTTCTCTTGAAAATCCAAGGGCAGCTTTGGTGCTCAGAGATTCAAACAGAAAACTATACAAAACCAACCCATAAATATATATATATATATTATATATGTGTGTGTGTATATATATATATATAAAATTGCAAAATAAAAGCCCAAGAAACTAATCATCAATCTGCACGTCAGTGGCTCAAAAAGTGTTAGCGTAGAGAAAGGCAAAACCGTTTGTGGGGATGATGCATGATCCAGGGGGCTGGCATTTCCATAGCAGAAAGAGTATTTACATGGAACCCCTATTTGAGACTTCACAATACTAGAAAAAGCTATACACAGACAATGCATGTACAAGGGAAGACGATTGTCAGACACAGACATTTCACTGAAACCATCCACGGTTTTAGAGGACACAGCACTCTCTATCAAGACCCCTGCATACCCAGCCGGGCGAGCCCAGGCCTTGGACACTCTCCCCACGCGAGTCTTCCTGGGAGAGGGAGGAACACAGCGCCAGACTCAGCGGCTGGAGCATGGATGGCAGGAATTTAAAGGTGGACTAGACCACAGAGATCAAGCTGTCACCCAGAAGGCAGGCCCAATAGGCACGAGGTGGGGCTGAAGTGTGGGGGCAGGGATCCCCAAAATATAGTCTCATTTTATAAGAGCTTTGATGTATTTAAATTGGCCCCTCCGTCCTTGGCCAACAGTCGTCCTCCTTCTGATTCATTTAAAAAGGGAAGATCTAAAAGTTATATGAGATGATCTGTTGGAAGGGAGAAGAGTTTGGGGGTTTTCTACAGTTCTTCTCCCACCACCCCAAACCCCCACGTTTTCTCTAAGCTACTTAGAGGTTGGGGACTTGCCACATTGCAAATGGCCTCATCCTGCTCCTCAGGAACCAGTGGGTGGGAAGAGATCTGAGGAGCCACCACACCAGGAAAGCTACTGAGGCTCGGCCTCTGGCCACACCTGCGTCCCCTGTGTCAGTGACTATGACCATTTCTCCTCCATCTTCAGGCCCAATTTCTCATAGCAGTGACCCAACTTTTGGGGTCATCTTGAAGGCAAATGGCACCAAACACCGATTTGGCAAAACCCAAGTACGAACCAATACAAACCATCACTTCTGTATTTTTAAGAAAACCCTCAACTGGAGATTCTAATTGTTCCTCAAAAGAGAAGCCTATCTACATAAAATGAGGAAAGAAGATTTCTCCACTAAAGAAGGACACCCCACCTGAAATGCCCACATTGATTCCTGGGTGAGGGTGGCTTCTCACGGCGAGAGGCTCAAGAGGGTTGAATGTGCCCTGGTTACGGGGCTCCACGTGTGCTCTTTTGTTTCTGGCAAGAAGTAAGCCACATCCAAGTGGGTAGGTTGGCTAGACAGGGCATTGGGAAGTCATCACTCTACCGTGTCTGCGTTCTCATACTGAGGCACAAGGGAAACTGCAACAGATGAGTAACCGATGAGCATATTTCTTCAGAGTCCGTTCAGGCCTGTGGCTTTTCATATTCAATTGTCCCTTTTGGAACAGATGGGGAACAATTGTGGGGTGCCTTGTCCTTTCTGTGGGAATGGAGAGCATGGGTTTACCTCCTCCCTAATTTCTTCTTAGACCCTCTCAACGTTATTGTCTTTGAGAGTTTGCTTAGACTCAAGTGGTAAGAGAAGATACAAGACCTCTTTCCTCTGTGCTCAGAAAGTCAACAGCAGCTCTAGCAACCACTTCAAGGGCTTCTGCTGACCTGCGTAAGGAAAAGGAGTAAGGACTTGTGCAAAAGATGGCCTCCACAGGCCAATGGTAGGCTATGTGTCTATCTACCCCTATGCATATGTCCGTCGAAAAATCAAACTTCTTTTTGATCTTTTTGACTTTCGGAAGGGAATCATGCTGTTGGGGGAATGGTTCTTTCAAATCCATGGTAATCAGAGAAGTGGCCTGTAAGGACAGCAGTAGCCCTGTTATGACGGTGCTGAATGATATCTGAATGTCTGCCTTGCCACATTCAGTGCATCAGACACTGGGAGAAGATTCAAGGCTCAGTATACATAAATCCATAGTATGAGAGCAATGCTTTCCAGTGGGGTTCTTACAGACCAGGGTCCTCATCCAAATCCCTGCAAGTCCCTTAAAAAGAACTTTTCTATCTGCAGAGGAAGAACCCCATTTTCATTACAGGACTGTTGAGGGAGACTATTTTTTAAAAGATTTATTTATTTGAGAGAGAGAGAGCATGAGTGGGAGGGGCAGAGGGAGAGGAAGAGAGAATCTCAAGCAGACTCTGCGCTGAGCATGGAACCCAATCCAGAACCCTGAGATCATGACGTGAGCCGAAACCAAGAGTCAGAAGCTTAACCAACTGCACCATCCAGGCGCCCCTTGGGGGAGGTTATTTTTAACTGTGTGTAACCTGACCGAAGTTGGACAGTTACTTGGGGCACTATAGGCCAGGAAGCTCTAATGGAGCACAGATCTGTGCTAGAGGCTTGCCTCTTGGCAAAGCTTTTCGCAAAGTTTGAGAAAGGTCACATGGTGTGGACGGTTCTCCCACATCACTTCTGGGTGCCAGCCACTAGTGCACGGAAAGTCACTGGAACCAAGTTGCCCCTCTGTAACCGTCTCTCCTTCTGCCTCCCCACCCTGCTCCATGGAAACACCCTCAAAACGGCCCCCCTGCCCAGCTCAGCCATCCATCACACTGCAGACTGGCTCACATGTTCTCATCCCTTTCTGCGGCATATCCAAGTACAGTGCCTTCACTAGAAATGACCCTCCTACCTACCACTCTGAGCTCTCCATAGAGACATTTTCTCCAGACAGACACTGGTCGAAATTCTCAGCCAACTTTTATTCAGATCCAAAGAAAATGCCCCATCCTCTCCCTAAAAGCCTATGGTTTTGTTTGGACTGCATGTCTCCTGCTACAGCATCCAGTGCACCACCTTGAGCCTGGCACTAAGCATGCCACTGCCGACACGTACGGGAGAGCAAGCAATGGGCAGAGGGCCTCAACAGCTCCCGTGGCAGTTCTGCAGCGAGACGAAACGGACCTGGAAACTGCACCAAGCATTAGCTCTTTGAATGTTTCCCTCTCCTTGTTGAAAATCTTTCCTAAGATGCCTTATCCAAAGACTGTTAGGGAAGCAAAATTCTGTGCCAGAAGCATGCTATTTGCTATAAAGGAAAACGTAGTGTAAGGCAGGCCACCAGGCATGTTTCAGTGCTGACGTTTCAGAAGGTCCTCATTAGGAGATCTCCTGGGCTTTCACCGCACTCCTCTCCAAGTCATTCTCCAGCCACCAAACGGATTTTTGTAAAATTCAAGCTTGATCATGACACCCTGATGTAAGCCATCAGCAGCTCCAAACCCCCTTCAGGATAAAATCTAGTTGCACACTTCTATAGGTTTCTCTCTGACCCAGCCCTGCTCACCTATGAAACAAAGCCCCCGCCCCCCCTTACACCTTACATTCTGGCATTACTGCATGACTCAGTGGGCCCATCGTGGAGTTTTGTGCTTCTGTGCCTTTGCACATGCTCTTCCCTCGGCACGAATATCCCACCGACACTTTTGTCTTCCTGGAGAATTCTTCTTTGTCTGAAAACCTAACTCAATCATCACATCTTTCAGGAAAGTTTCTCTGGTCCAGAAGACAATAAATCATTACTTCCTTATGTCCCCTCTGCCCCCTTGCCCTTTCCGTAACTTGTCTATAAGCCTCCTATACTTAAAAACTTCTGTGGGCAGGGACTATGTTCTGCCTTCAGACTTGACCCATGACCCAAGCTCATGGGGTTTTTTTATTGTTGGTTGTTTTGTTCGATTGCATGAGGATGAACAAATGGATAAATACAAGGTGGACCCATGGCATAAATCCCAAGGATGATCCTCCAGCAAGACTCTGGCATTTTCACCTAAATGAGCCCTCATTGTTGTAAAGGGAATAAAGAGAGTTTGTTGAATGCGAAGAGTCAATCAACATCATCTCTGAGCTACAACCACTCAAGCACAAAAAGCTGCGTCAATGGTAATCCACTCCACTCTTCTCTTAACATTGCTGGCTGCTGATGATCCTAGCCACAATGAGTGGTTTCTCTTAATGACGGCATAATGCCTGGTGCTTTGTGGGTGCTTAACAAATATTGTGAGGGATGAAGGAATGAATGTGAAATCTATTTTTTCAAAAAAGGCATCAAAGGATTGGCTCTTAAAGGCATTTCCCACAACATGGACTTTGTGTGAGGCACTGGATGCCCCTGACCATTGGGTTGCCCATCACAAGGCCCATCAGAAAGTAGAGCAGTGTAGGGGCTGGGGTAGCAGTTAGGACTCTGCTCTAGAGAGATGCAGTACTGGGTTCTCTTTAGCCACGTGTCAGCTTCCTTTCTTCTCAAGAGCCCCGCCCCCCAAATACTGTGGCCCAACCAGAAGGCTCCTGCCTCTCCTTCATCAGAGGTCCACATTGGCCTCGCCACAATCCACATTTATCAGGAGCTTAACGTGCACTCATGAGGGAGAACACAGGTAGTTTCCTGCCTTCATTTCAAATGCTGACATTACACAGTGGAAACCAATCACAGAAATGGGTCCTGGACTAAATTAGCCCCCGGCCTTGGGGATTTCAAGTTTTCTAATCATCATAACTGTTAAGAACAAAGGCTCTGGACTCAGACTGACCCAGGGGTCAAATCCAGGCTCTGGATCTTTCTAGCCAAGTCACCTGGAGTAAGTCAATTGTCCTTTTGGGGCTCAGTTTTCTTACTGGTAAAATGGGAATATCTTACCCACATCACAGGATTATCGTGACAGTCAAAGGGTGTAATGCATGGAAAGCCTGCACAGTGTCTATATATAGAAAGTAAGTGCTCAAAAGTGGAAAACTGTGATTAAGAACTTTCAAAAGTACTTTCACAATAATCAGGACAAAAAGGAAAAATACTCTTTGAAGACACTGTGCTATAAAGAGAATGGGTTGTCTATTTTTTAGGAGCCAACAATGCTCATTATTCGATGTCCCGTGGAAGAATATGAAAAGATAGTGCTGGCATTTACAACAGCAGCTGTAGCTCTCACTAGGCCCCAGGATGGACAGATAGTGACAGGGCAAGGACACTCAAGCTGATTTTTCTGATAGCTGATCCAAGGAATGAATCCTCAAGGGCTCATCTCATTCTCCTCTGCTGGACCCAGAGTGACTGAGTCGGAACCCAAAGGAGCCAAGGTCAAGGTGCCAAGAATAAGGTGCCAGTTCCAGTCTGTGAGCCAGTGCTTCCAGGTTTGAAGGAAGGTCAGGGGACACCTGACCGCCGGATAGGAGAGAAACGGGTACAGCCACATTGCTCCATGTATCATGCAAAGCTAGAAAGGCATAGCATTTCCTGTGTTGTTTTGATCCTCCTTGTACAACCCAAAGCCAACAGAGGATCTAAATTTCCCCAAATTTCTGCCCTGAGCATGAGACAACTTTTCTCTAAGCTAAATTTGGTTTTAGTTTTGAAGCGCCTGAGATGCACAATTCAAATGGGCCAAGTTCCTGGCTTCTTATATTGATTAAATAATTCCCAATCCTGTGGCTGACTCTGCTTGCCCTTATGTCTGCCCACTCTTACAATTCTTCATCCATCCATCATTCAGGAGGTTCCATGAAGAAAGCTCAGGGTTAGTGGTTGGGGAAGCACAAGCTAAGCCATCAGACCTTGGGAACAAAGATAAACTTCTGGTATAGGGGACAGGGCAATTTGTCTGGTTACTGAGAGCAGCAGGGCAGGGACCCTATGGAAAAGAGAGATTTCTAAACTGTGACAGCTCCATTAGCAGGAGATTGGATTCCTGCAAGGAAAAGGACCTTGCTCAGGGGAAGTCTCAACCTGTCTGATTTGATCTGAGATTGTGAGGGCTTGCAGCCCGCTTGGGCCTTCTGCCCTGGGCTCAGATTGGTGGACAGCATCTTCACAAAGGTGGCCCACAACTAGGCAGTGTTATGTAGTGGAAAGAGCACTGGACTAGGAGCCAGGAGACCTCAATTCTAGTGCAGGCTCTGCCACTAACTAGCTGTGTGACCTTGGGAAAGTCACCTGATTTCTCTGGGGCAATTGTAAAATGAGGGGTTGGTTGGGTAATCTCTAAGTTCCTCCTCAGAGTGTGATCCAGGGTCCTATTCTATCCCTCTTTGGCCCTGTGCTTCCAGGGACAGAGATAGGAGAAGGGAAGGGGTGGAGGGAGAGGGTGCAGATGGGAGCCCAAGGGTGCTACCAATCAGGACTCCACTTTCTCCTTCTTTTTGCTCTTTTTCAGGAAGGATGGGGTTCGGAATTTCTTCTTCTTTTTGGAGGGAGACTTGGAAGGTGAGCCCTCTGGGGACATGGGGCCGCTGGTGACCGACTCGGTTTTGTCCTTAGAGGTATCAACATCCGTGTCGGCATTGGTGGTCATCTGGCTCAAGCCTTTGCTGAGAATTTCCTCTGCGGTCTGCTCGTCCTCTCTCCCGTTGACCACCACTCCTTCTGGCTGTGTTGTTTCAGGCTCTGTGGTGGCTTTGCTTGTTTCTGTCTTCTTAGCACCTTCTAGAAAAAGATCAAGAGATATGACCCATAAGATTTCCATCTGGTGAAAGTTTCCATATGGGGTTAACAGAACCATTTCTAGGCAATTCTATAAAAGAAGTCTAGAGCAACAGGAGGGACAGGCTGACACTGTAGGGGGAAAGGGTTAGGCAGGGTTCTCACCCAAACCCTGTACCCCCTTCCACACAGCCTGCCCTGGGAACAGGCCCTTGGCAAGTCTGTTACTCTGGGGTCTTGTCTGCAAATGTAAACAGGTAATGATGTCCAAACGTGGCAGGGGGCCCAGCTAGGGCCCAGGTGAGAGCATCTGTAGGACTAAATGAGGGGACAGACCCAGGTGAGGAGAGAGGCTGTAGGAAGGAGGAGACCAGTAACACATACAACTCAGTGGAGGAATCTAAGAACTGTTGTAACCGGTTCAGTTTCACCAGTAAAAATACAGAAATGAAGGTTTTTTAAAGCTATTATTTAAATTCCAGTTAGTTAACATGGAAATTACATGTTTTTATACCCATTTCATTTCCTATACCAGAGAGGAACTTTTGGAAAAATGGGGAATATCTCCCCAGTAGGCAGAGAGGGGAAGGCAGAGGGAGAATGGAATTCCTTGAGTGATATGGACCCCAGGTTTCCAAGATAAAAGGATTAACCAAAGGGGAAGATGCGTGGTTGGCCCATTCTAGTGGTCACCTGGAGGGAACCTGTTTGGATTGCTGCCATGTTCAAAGCCACAGCTGCTCTGACCCCCAGAAACTAAGCCCCACTACTGCCCTTTTTCCTCCTTCCCACTCTCTCCCCACCTTGCTTCCACTCAAGCTTTGAAATGCCTGGATGGAGAGGGAGGAGGGGAAATTATAAAACCACAGACTCTGAAAAGTAGAAAGGAATTTACAGATCATCTAGCTCAGCTCCTCCCCATTTTACAGAAATGAAAACTAAGTAGTAAAAGTGAGCAGATCTCAATCTCCTGACATCCAGTTTTTTGTTCTTTTCACTATGTGAAACTGAGAGGAGTGTGTGAATGTATGAGAACATGTTTGTATGTGTGAATTTGTAAGTGTGTGAATGTAGAGTGAGCTGTGTGAATAAGCATGGGAGTGTGGTGTATGAGTGTGTGGGTGGAGTGTATGAGTTGTGTTGAGTTTGTGTGTGGCCATATGAGTTTGTGAATGAATGTGTAGGTGTGCTGTGTGAGTGTTGGTATGTGTAAGTGAGTTGTGTGTGTGAGTTGTGTGAGATCTCACACCACAAGAAGGTACTGGGCATGCTCCCCTCTATAGGAATGTGAGTAATGGGTGAAGTATGACTGGTTTGACTTACAGATGGAATGGGCAGGGAAAGAAGTTTTAGGAAAAAACTAGGGTTCTTGACAGGGGTAAAGACTGGAGAAATGTATGGTTACATGGAACATGGGACAGAGGGGTGTAAATTTGGGGACAGTTAGAATGGGCTAGTTTGACTATGGGCAAACTCTGGTCTTTCCTAACTTCTGAAATTCTCTGGGCAAGTCAATGTCCTCTTCCAGATGACTCTTGAGGACTGTCTCTCTTTTAGTACCCAACACCTTGACCCCAGCTCCCATCCTCCTACTGTTCGGCCCATGTTCTATCATCACCCAGCTACTAAGTTCTCTAAGGCCCTTTACTCCAATGACCCACACTACCTTCCCCTCTCAACATGGGTCCCCATGGTCATCACCTGGCAATAGTCTTGAAATCAATACACTCATCTAAACACAACCTTCTTTCTGTCCATTCTCCTCTCCTCACATCACCTGCTAGTTGGCCTCATCAACACTCTGGTATGGCTCAAGCCTCTCCTGACATTTGACAATGATCTTGCCCTTCTTTAAATCTATTGCCAATATATCCATTTTACACTTTCATGTGTCATTTACCTTTTTTTTTAGGAGGACATAGTTGGGTGTGGTCCCCTCCCACAATGAATCTGGTCTGGCCCCGTGGTTCACAGTAACCAACAGAATGATGAGAAAGTGCCACCGAGCCAGCCTTAGGCTGAAGACTTAAGAAGGCCTAGAAGTTCCTGCTTTCAGAGTTTGGGGAGCTCTGAGCCACTATGTAATGAAGTCTGATTACCTTGATGGAAACATACATGGAGAGGCCCTACAACCATATGGACAGAGACAGAGAGACAGAGACCCAGCCATCCCAGTGTCCCAGCTGACCCCAGCCTTCCAGCTGTCCCTGCCAAGGCACCTGACATGAGAGCACCATCCTGGAAGTTCCAGTTTAGTCAAGCTCCCAGATGACTGCAGCTGCAGCTGACTTGAATGGAACAGAACCATCCAGCTGAGCCTAGTCAACCCACAGGAAAACTAATTTCCATAAAACCAGCTCTTATTATGCACCATGATTTAATAATTATCTACTGCTGCATAACAACCTCCACCCCCCAAGTTCAGTGGCTTAAAACAGCAAGCCTATATTCTCTCTCACAATCCCAAAAACATAGTACATAACGAGAACTAATAGATGGAAGCACCTTACAAGGCCCTTTTGTATTCATTTGCTCATTTTATCCCAATAACAATGCTATGACTTAGGATAGGGCAAGGATTCGTGTTAGGCAGCCCCCCATTCTGCAGGGTTTTTAAGTGACTTATTTGAGATGGTGAAATCAGTAAGTGACAGCGATGATCTTCTGATGCTGAATGCAGGGCTATTTCTTGGCAGGCAGAGCTAGTGCTCCTGAGAGGTTACTGGGGGATGGAGTCAGCAGGGGCAGGGATCAGGAGCTGGTCAAAGAGAAGGCGATGACAGAGATGACCAGATGTGGAGGAAGAGGGTTTGAAAGAGTCTCCTTCAGGGAGGCTGATGGGGTAGGAGACAGATGAGGAGGGACACGGAGGTGACCCCACACCAGAGCATTTGAGAGCATGTTGACACACGGTGAAAAGCCAGCCCTGATTCAGTGGGTGAGCTACATGTGAAAATGCACACGTTGACAGGCGTGGGAGGGTCAGCTCTGTCTGCCCTGAGGAGCTGGGCAAGCCATTGGGTAGCGTGGCCATGGCCACCCTGCCCTGCTCCACATTGGTCACCCAAGGCAGCTACAATTCTGGCCTCATCATGCAGGCTCAGCTCTGTCTATACTATGAGAAGAGTCTTCAGGGAGGATCTTGATTTTTCTAACAATTCAACCAGGGTGCACCCCTCCACGAGGGCACAGATTTGGACCAGACTGGGCAGAAACCATGCTACCAGTGGCAATGATGTCAGGGGTGGGTAAGCAGTTATCCTACCTGTCATACACCCCTCCTTCCACTCTCTGTCCCTCTGAACAGCAGAGGTTGCTCCAAGGGGCTCCCAGGAGCTGAAATGCAATTACTACCACTTGTCCCACTGCTGCCATAAGCTGCCTCTCCAGCTTGGATTTCCCTCCTGTGGATGGTGTGCATGCCCTGAGGGATGCTGAAGACATGGTCTTCAGATGCCTAGAGCATCTCTATAAGGCAGTTGATCCTAGGGCCATTCAGGCTCTGGGCCTCAGCCCTAGAAGAGGTTATGGGCTCCTTGGAGGGGCCATTAGGAACAGGGGTGCAGATGTGTTAGTGAGGGCCATAAGCATTCCTCCACAGGGAGTGCCCAGGAGCTGCCCCACTGTCCTTTCACTGTGCAGACTTGTTGCTTCTGGATGGTATGCCCCATGTGAGGATGAGTGTGTGTGTGTGTGTGTGTGTGCATGAGTCCATCCTATGTGTGTATATCCTAGAGGGAAGCCTAGCCCATGCATAGAACATGTGGAGTTGGTCATGAACTTTATAGCCAGGAATCCTCCCCAAGTCAGGGTTGCCAAAGAAAAAGCTGGGGAGAAACACATTTCTTTTTGAAGAAGTCCTCCCTCCCCCATTGCAAGTGTTGGAGGGAGTTAGTAAACAGCCTCTCTATACTTACTACAGAGACAAGTATTCAGAATCGGAGGAAACTCCTTTGATGAAGGCACAAATGGGAAGAGAAAGGAAGACATTGTGGAGACAGGTTGATAACACCAGGATGAGACACAATGAACACAAACAGGGGACATCCACTTGCAGCTCTGGCCACAAGCAGATGGGTTTCCTCTGGCAACACTGGGACTGCACGCAAGGCAGCAATTTGCCTACGGAGGGAGCTCAGAGGCTGGGGGATTCTAGCAGCATCCACACATGTGGTCATTCTATCCAGAACAGGGAAAATCTCAGGGCCCCAGGGGAGGAGTGTTCATGCCCTAGGGTGATTCCAGGAGCTCAATAAAGACACTTTTATGATGTAGGTGGTATAGAAAATAATAGCAGTATTATGCACTGTATGTATATTATTAATTATAATCACAAACAGATCTTACATTTAAATGTTTTTATTCTTTCTTTTATTTCTTTTATGTTTTGTATTTCATTCTTTATGTTCCCATCTACAGCTTCCCTTCTATGTGTAAGAACCTTAAAAGGGGAAAATATTGGTAGTCCCATTTGACAGACAAGGAAACTGAGGCACAAAGATGATCTGATTTCCTAAAATTAGCAGTTGAGTTATTATTAATTAGTGGTTGAATTGGGCCTAAGTTCTAACTTAGTTCTAACTAAGTTCTAACCTTAGTTCTCTAAACTAGTATCTAATGAAGTGGTTCTTAGCCTGGGCTACACATTAGATTTACCTGGAGAGATCTTAAAACTCCAGTGTACTCTTCTCTACCCCATCCCAGACCATTTAACTGAGAACCACTGGGGGTGCTGTGGTGGGACCCAGGCCAGTGTTAGGATTTTTAAAGCTCCCCAGGTAATTCCAATGTATTGAGATTCCAAAGGTTGAGAATAACGTCATCGGCCTTACCTGAGAGCTTGTTGGAAATATACAGTCTCAGGTCCCACCCCAGACCTACTGCATCAGAATCTTCATTTTAACAAGATCCCAGCGATCCCTACACATATTAAAGTCTGAGCACTGGGCTGGTGCCCCTAGAAAGACCCAGCAGCCAACCTAGTCTGAATGAGAGGTGAGAAGGCTGTGCGTCAATCATTAACTTACTCATTATTGCTTAGACAGGGACTTAAATTGTAAGATGTGTTGTCACAGCTTGTGAATGAAACAAGCTTAAATTTGGAAAGCCCTATTTCAGATTCCCTAGAAATGGCAGAACAGAAAGCTTTTTGGGTAGCAGGCAAGACCTGCTGAAAGGCAGGGTCCCTGGAGTGTGCACATCTGCCCTGCCTTCCATGCAGACCCCTTTCTAAGCTGTGGAGGCGCCTCCTCCCTTCCAGCTGCTCAGTTCCACTCACCGTCTAAAGACTTGGAGGGAGAGACCGCAGGGCTCTTTGTCTCTGACTTCGCTGGACTCTGTGCTGGAGAAGCTGGTGCAGACCTTACAGGTGAGCCAGGCTCCTCTGCAGTGGTTTCTTTCTCTCCTGAAAATACAGAAAACCACCTCAGGATAGGCGTCAAACAGAGGAAAGGTGGGCAGAGAGAGAACGTTAAAAAAAAAAAAAAAGCTTTCTTCCAGCTGGCCCTCATTTCTCCTAGCTGAAGTTAGCTGCTCCCCCCAAACTTTTTTTAAATTTCTGCTACATTCGGGGGGAGGCAAATGGGAGGAGTCAGAGTCATATTCTGTTTCCTCCATCCAGGCACATCTGCCAGTGGAATGTTAGCCCTGATGTGGAGCCTGAGACTGCAGGTGTCCCACCCATGATTTGTTTTCATGTAGCTAATTTATTGTTTATCTAATTTTCATGTTCAGCCCAAATATCTCTAGGGATATAAAGCACCACATTTTCTATCTACTTTTTCAACTGTCCCATTAGAACTCCAAGCAAGCTAGCAAGGGTTTTTCTAGGGCCTGCTTGTGCCCAGGAAGATGGCTGACTCTGGGTGGGGGGTAGGGGGGTGGTGGACGACAACCCTGCCCTGAGGGAATGAAAGCCTAGCCTGGTGGACAAAACCAGGAGCTGAATTCTTCAGTGTCTCAGACCCCAAGTGCTCTTGAAACAAAGACAAGGGCCAGCTCAAAGTGGGGAGGGGGGGTGGAGAGGGACAGAGAGGGCTCTTTTAGCTGAAGGGGGCTTGAGATGGAAGTTCTCGGATCAGGCTAGCCTAAAAGGGAAACTGTGCCAGGAAGGGACAAAGGCATGAAGGAGAGCATACAAGCTATCATGAATATGCATATTTGGGAGTCAACATGGAGAGATGGGCTTGACTGAAGATTTTGAAATAAAAAAGGAATAAGGAAAAGACCAGAGGTAGCTGGTGGGAGTTTTCATTGCCAGGCTAAAAGGTTTATACTGGACCTGATAGATTAATAGTAATTATCACTATTATAATTCTCTTATCATAGCTAATGTTTATCTGACCTAAGCCACACTTACAGGCCCTGTTCTAAGCACTCTACAAGGATTAACTCCTTTAAACCCAGGTGAGAGGCTCAGACAAGGTCATGGCAGCATGGCATCACCGTTAGGCGCCGAGCCATGAGGACCATTACGTAAGTAACAGCATTATGCTGGTAAGAATGTGACTTGGTTGATGGGGCAGGAAGGGCAAACTGAGAATATGACAGAGGAGAGAGAGAAGTGAAGGCTGACCATGAAGGTGAGGCAAGGCTAGACACAGCCCTGAGGGCCCTGCCAGGCGGTGGCGGGGGGGGGGAGGGTGTGGGTCCCAGGGCCACTGGTGGGAGTGAGTCTTGCTGGTTGCTCTGCTGCCCCTCTGGGTGCCCCCAGCTCTCCCTTCACCCTGGGCGACCTGGCGTTATTTACCGTCAAGTTCTAGTTTCTTCCTCTCCACCTCCTTCTTGTATTCCTCCAGCTCCTGGTCAGTGAGTTGGCTGAAGGGGTTGGGCACGGTCTCCTCTGAGTCGTCTTTGGTATCTGCATCGCCCTTGGACATCAGCTGGCTCTCTGTAGACTGAAAGTTAACCACAGAGTGTGTGTTGCTCTCTGAATGCCGCAGCTGGGGCCCAGGCCCGAGTTTCCTTTCAGACTCATGTGGCTGCCAGTGGTCTTGCTAGGGACAGCGTGGCATGCAGCTCCTTGGAAACAGCTCAGGGCCTTGGGGTAGGGGTTGTTCATTCCTTCCCATGGCTACCTCACCCCAGACCTGGGTTCTTTGCAACTGCCTGGATGAATGCAGGGAGTCCACCCTCTGCCCCAGAAATAAAATCGAAGGATGCTCCCAAGCAGAAGGAAGACACATGTTTATTGCAATCCCTCCTGTGGACGCTTGCAAGCCATCACTACGCAAATACAGTCGACAGCCCAAAGTCAGTTAGCCAAAAGCCAGCAAGCAAAGCATTGGCTCAAGCCCGCTTCATGCCAGCCATTCCCCACCATGCCCTCCTCCCACCCCCAACAGTTGCACAAGCCACAGCACACAGCAGGAAGTCAAATGCAAAACACACAATGGCTTCAGCGTTCTCAGTCCAAACTGTTAGTCCTGTTTTGCACAAAGTCATAAATTACAAGGGGCCAAGGTCCTGAATCTCGGATCTTCAACCTGCCTGTACTGCGGGTCCCTGGGGGACATTGGCAAAAATCCCTGGGAGACTTTGTGGAGCCCTTGGCTCTGGGGAGCTCACCAGCTGGACCTTATGTGAGTGAGCTTCAGAAATCCTTTGACCCCTCTAGCCCATGACAGGGTCTAAAATTCAGACCCCATAGCCCTTTCTCCTAATTTTGCATCCTCATCTTGGCCTTTGAGAATGCACTGCTCTGAAGCTGAGGAGGAGCCAAAGAGCATGAAACTCAGGGGAGGTGAGCCCAGAGCAGATGGCCCACACCACACTCTCTAGGCTGCCTTTCCTGGCCCCCCAGGCCCTCTGGTGATGGGCCCATGGGCATCTTCCAAAAGAGAAGCAGCATTGGCCTATCTTAAGGAATCACAGTGTTCAAAAGAGAATCCAAGACCAGGATCCCAAGAAGAGGGACTCCAAGGAGAACACTTGGTATAAATGGCAGAGTTTTTAACATTTTTGCTCACTGTACTGAACTTTCACCACCCCCACCCCAGTATCAGGGGGTATTTCTATTCTTGGCCCTGTGGCACTTTTGGCGTTCCTCATCCTGGCTACTGGCGGTGGGTGACAATGGTGGTACAATGACATAACCTTCATATTTCCCTGCATGGGCACCCACCTTGTGGGCTGCAGCCTGATCTAAATGATCTCAGTTCACTCTGCAGAGAGGAACAGTTCCTGTATCTCTCCCCTTCTTACCGCTAAGGAATATGCCATGCCCATTGCTACTTGCCACGAGTAGCAGTGATTTTCAACACAAGCCAGAATTCTGATTTTCACCCCTTTTGCTAAGCACTAGACAAACACTGTCCTATCTCAGGCATGGAAACAACTTTATACTTTGTAATCTATGTGGGTTTGTGTGGGCAACTAACGGCCCCAAATGGAGCACCAGTCCTTATATACATGCCTCCCCTCTGCGAGCCCATGAGCATCTTCCCAGAGCTATGGCCTGATGATGCCATATCCACGCACAGAGGCCATAAACGCTCAGAGCAGGCAGGCCTGGAGCAGCTGGGAGCTGCCTGCCGCACTCCTGTGAAGCCCACTTTGCAGGATAGCAATAGAGGGCAGAGTGGAGTTCCATGGGTGAAGCATGGAAGTCAGCATCACTCCTGGGGCAGGCTGGGCTGCTGCACCCCCGCCCAGTACCCACAGGGGGCAATTACACACTGTCCCTGGTCCTCACAGCATCCGTCCTGCAGCAAGAGCACCAGTGCCCAAGATCACAGGGGACGGTGGGCAGGAGGACTCAGGGGTCCTCCTGCCTAGCCCCAGGCACTGAAGACCCAGAAGGCAAACACGTTTCCCCTCCAGACAGGGGCAGCTTCTGCTGTACCGGGCTTCGACTCTTCTCAGCGATGACACTCGCCAGGAGCTGGGACTGAGGCCCTGCCGACTTCACGTCTTGTCGGTTTTGTTCTCGAATCTGTGTGGCAAGGGAAGGGGAGAGTGAGCTAGCTGTTGAGCGTCAGGGTGTGGAGTTTTGGAGGGGGCACTTGGAGGGCATCCTGGTGTCTCGTGTGCTCTTGACTAGGGTCTATAAAGGTCCTCCAGTGAGGCGGGGGCCTGTCTCCCCTATTTCTAACACAGTGTGTCCTCTAAGAGACAGTCTCCATGTGTGCTTCAGAGTGAATGAGCAGTTTATGTAAAATACCGGATTCTCATGAACTCTGAGGAGGTAACTGTAACAGGTGAAGAGTGAAACAACGCACAGTAGATCCTGGAGGGAGGGCCTCACGTTTTACTGAAGCCCCTGAGAAACTTCTTGACTATCACAGATTTCTGGGGCCACCCCACAACCACTGAATCGGAGTCTCTCCTTGGGGAGGAACAAGGGATTTGACCTGGGCATCTGCATTTTAAATCAGCACTGCAGAAGGTCCTTGAACCATACATTAAATCACTGTTCTGTGAGTACACTTGACCTTTTGGAGGTGGTCTACTACAACCTAAGTTTTTAAAGTAACATAAGAAATGTGAGTGAACTGTAAAGCAAATGTTGAGAGAGAAATATAAAGGATTTTGAAATTTTGAAAATGAGCTGGAAGGAAAAAAGCATAAAATTCATAAAAACTCAATTTATGGGCAGGTTTCTTAGACATATCTAATGTTATGAGCAAGCACTTCTTTATGTACGAGGGTTATTTAGGACCACGTAAGTATAGAGTTAGCACAGTGCTAGAGAATGGCCCGTGTATGGTAGTTTCTTTCCCCTAAGAGGAATCGGGGGTTTTGATAAGACAGGTACATCCTGGGAACTCAGCTTATATTTGTGGGACCTGAGACTGCTTCCCGCTTGAGGGAGAAGAGATGGCAAGAGAAGCAGCTCCCACCTTACCTTATTCCGCATGTCCAGCACTTCTTGGGGGTCAGTATAGAGAGGCACAAATTGGTTTGGGTTTTCAATCCGTATTGGCATGCCACTGCTGGATTTCTCCACCTCATCAGCCTTCATCCACTGAACAAACACAAGGCCAGGTGGGTAAGGCAAAGGAATAAAGTCACCATGTCCTCCCCTATGGCCCACCCCTGAGATCTGGGCCAAGCGGTCCATGTGCAAGGTCAGCAAGCCTATAGAGAGATGTTCTCTCTTCTTGGGCCTCCTTGAGGTCTGTCTCCCAGAACAGAGATGGGGAACAAATGACCTGCTTGCCAAAGAAGGCCGCCAGGTCAATAGTCAGCCGTAAAGAGTGCTGGAGAGTAGGGCTCAGAACCTTGACAACCAATTTGACAAAAAGGCAGCCACTTGACCTTTAGCATCAGATGACTTACTGATTTTCAATTTTATTTATTTATTTAGAGGGAGAGAGAAAGAGAGAGCAGGGGGAGGGGGAGAGAGATACTCTCAAGCCGACTCCACACCGAGCACGCATAGCCCAACACGGAGCTCAATCTCACAACCCTGAGATCATGACCTGAGCCGAAATCAAGAGTCTGATGTTTAACCAACTGAGCCACCCAGGTGCCCTGACTTAGTGATTTTAATTTGCAGGGCTTCATCTTTTTTGTTTGTTTGTTTGTTTAATGAAGAGCTATTCTACTTGCCTTCAGCTACTTTAATGTTAATGAAAAATCAAATTGAGTCGTGTGTGTATGCGTACTGCTGTGTGTGTGTGAGAGAGAGAGAGAGAGAACGAGAAGAGGTGTGGGGAGGGAGAAGACAACTTAATAGAAACTCATATCCCACCCATCTCCTGGGTTTGCATCATATGGACAATCCAAATGTTGGATGCCCATGAACTTCCCAGAAGCCTCCTGTATATGGGGGGGAGCAAGAAGCAAAAACCAATTGTTCCTGGATTTTGTGCTGCTGGGAGTGAGGTCCAGCCACCCCCTGGAGAAATCTCTTCTTTGGGCCCCAAACTTCAGTGCAGAGGTGCAAGAAACAGGTGATCAGAGGTTCTGCGGGCATGAGCAGCTGCCCCTAGATGCCCAATAGGAAGCTCTAAAGGGAAACTATAATAACCCAGCCCATGGGATATTTGTTCTGTTCCCCTTTTAAATTAAGCTGCTTAACCCACAGATACAGCCATGCATCCTCCCTCCACCCTGATCTCCTCCTTACTGTGGTCTTGGGCCGGGGGCTGCCCATGCTCCTCTGAACCTCATCAGCCACATTGACCCGCAGGTAGGTGTTGGGCGTGTTGAGCCAACGGGTCTTCTCCTTCTGCTGCTTCTGGGCATGCTGCCGCAGGGCGGGCACCGGGGCGCCGTCCTCCTCAAACACGAAGGCTGTGACGGTGGCTGGGATCTCCACCTCACTTTTGTGTTTGGTTTTCTCTTGAACAAAGGGGTAGCGGTACGTGTAGCCTGTTCTGTAACCCTAAAAAGGACAGAAACAGAACCACTTACTGTGGGAAACATGGCCTCCACGCACATATCTCACATACCCTTTGCCCCCTTCTTTGTGAAGGACTCAGTTTAACCCAAACTCTCCATAACACAACGCTGCTCCTTTGATGTGTTTCAGAATTGTTCCCTTCTCCTGGTCCCCCAACGCCCTCTTTCCTTCACCCCAACAAGCTCTCTGATCAGAGCTGAGAAAATCCCTAGAACCTTGTGGACCAGACAGACAGGTCTCCTTACCCTAACAGTGTTCCAGTTTTCCATCTACTCCAGGGGTTCTCAGCCCTGGCTGCACGCTGGGATCCCTTGGGGGCTTTAAAAATGCTGGTACTTGTACCCACCTCAGAGCTGCTGATTTCATTGGACAATGTCTGCGCTGCAGGAATTTTAAAAGCTTGCCAGCTGATTCTAACAGTCAACCCTCATTTTCTTGACTCCAAGGCTTCTAAGCCATTTCTTTCTCAGAACCCTGAAATCTGACTCAGGAACATCCCTGTCTCCTAAGCAAGACCATGTCCCACAGAGGTAGAAACGACTCCTGCTTGGTGAGAACATTCAGTCATCCTGAGAGCTCCCCATGGGATTCTTTTTTGGCTTTGCCTATCTTCTTCTTATTTTTTTTAAATTAAAGAGGCATTAAAATATTTTCCTGATTATAAAGAAAATACAGACCTATCTAGAAAAATCAGGCAATATGGAAAAACATAAGAAAGAAGTGGGTTTTATTAAAAAATCTCATCCCCAGAGAAAATCACTAAAAATCTTTCTGGTCATCTCTGTAAGCATATATATATGTGCATATATGTAAGTATATACATAATATATAACTATAGAATATATATGTTAATTATATATATGTGTTCTAAATTATATATATAAAACAGTACATAAATGGGACCATACTGCATAAGCAACTTTACAAGCTGCTTTTCTAGTTTATTGATGTGATTTAGAGATTTTTTTTCACATTATTGAACCTATAAACACACAGAAACCTTTATTTTTTTATGAGTTAGTAAAAAGTAATTGATAGCACTGACACTTAGTCATTTTTAAAATATTATAAACAACCGTGAAATAAGTATATTTATACAGTTTTCTTTAGGCAATTAAAGATTCTCTCCTAAAATAAAAATTACTGGGTCAAGGGGTATACATTAAAAGTTTTCATGTATTTATTATCTTCCCAAAATGTTGAGCCAATTTATACTTCTACCAATTGTACTGGAGTTCTCAGTTCTCACCTCCCTCCCATCTGCTGAATATTGCTGAGGTTTAAAAAAAAAAAAAAACTTTGGCAATCAGAAGGGTTAAAAGAAAAATCCTCCAACTTTTTAAATTCTTTTTTTTTATTACTAGTAAAACTAGATATTTTTATTGGCCGCTTGAATCTCTTCCTTTGTAAACTGCTTGTGTTCTTGGTTTATTTTTCTATTGAGATGTTTACTGTTTTCACATTGATTCATAATACCGCTTTCTACATTAAGGATATTAATTTTTTGAATGTCACAGATGTTGCAATATTTTCCTCCATAGTTTGCCTTTCAGCTTTGTTTATGATGGGAGAGATAGTTTATAAAAATATACATTTTCAATTTTAATATAATCATATCTGTCAATATTTGTTAGACTTTCCCACCATACTTGACAAGTTCTTTCCCAACACAAGAGCATCGAAAATATAAATCTGTTTTTTAATATCTATATGAATTTACTTTTTATGTTCAAATTTTTGATAAATCAGGAATTCATCTTGTTGTTGTTTTTTTAAGATTTATTTATTTGAGATAGTGAGAGAGCACAAGCAGGGGGAAGGGAGGAGGGAGAGGGAGAACCAGGCTCCCTGCTGAGCACGGAGCCCAATGCGGGGCTCGATCCCAGGCCCCTGAGATCATGACCTGAGCTGAAGGCAGACACTTAACTGACTGAGCCACCCAGAAGCCCTGTGGAATTCATCTTGTTGAAAGGAATGATCCACCTTATTTATTTCCCAAAGGGCTAGCACTCAATCTTTCTCCCACTGCTTTATAAGATGCCTAGCTGCCCTGTGTTAAGTTCTCACACATTTAGGGTCTATTTCTGGATTCTCTAAGCTGTCCTACTGATTCACCTGTTCATTCTGCACTGGTGCTCCTCTGTTTAGTTGCTGAAGATTTTTCATGCTTTACCATGTGATGGGACAAGAATCCCTAATTACTCTTCTTTTTATAGGATTTTCCTAGCCATTCTGAATTTCACTTGGAAAAACATTTTTGCTAAGTCCTTCTGTGCTCCCCTATTATTGAAGGAATTACCCTGAATTTATTAATTTGGAAAAGCAACCTCTTAACCCTATGGGATTTTCTAACCAAGAGGAAATTGTGGCTCTTTATTAAGTTCAGGTTTTCTCTGACGTCTATTGGTAAACAATTATGGTTTTCTTTAAGTCAGTTCTGCTTAATGTTTTATGTTCTTTCTGCATTTGCAAATAGGGCTATTTTCTCCCATTACTATATTTTCAAATATATTATTATATGTTAAGATGCAAAAAAAGCTACTAATTTTTAAATATATTTTCATAACTGACTACTTTAAAATGCACTCATTGTTTCTAATATTTTTTCTTAGTTGGCTCTTTGGGATTTTATAGGCATATAACCATACTGTCTATACAGAATAGTAATTTTGTTTCCTTTTCAATATTTATTTTTATGCCTCACCACTTTAGATTGAGTTCCAGTATTATTCCAGAACAATATTAAAAGTGCTGACAGAAAGAATCATTGTTTTGTTTCAAAATTTAATGGAAATACTTCCAGTGTTACTAGTATATTGGCTCTTGTTTTGAGAAAAAAATTACTTTAATCATGTTAAATAAGTGTCCTCCTGTCTTAACAGCTATTATTTTTATAAACTGATACTATATTTTTATCAAATGACTTTGGTATTTATTAAAATGACCAAAAGGTTTTTAATCCTTTGACTCACTAATATCATGAAATATATTTAAAAGATTTATAATAGGGGCGCCTGGGTGGCTCAGTCGTTAAGCATCTGCCTTCGGCTCGGGTCATGATCCCAGGGTCCTGGGATCGAGCCCCGCATTGGGTTCCCTGCTCACTGGGGAGACTATTTCTCCCTCTCCCTCTGTCTGCCACTCCCCCTGCTTGTGCTCTCTAATAAATAAATAAAATCTTTAAAAAAAAGATTTATAATATTAAACCATCCTTGAATACTAGGAGTGAGGCTTTGCTTTATTATGTATTATTATTCTAATGTTATGCTGGATACTACCTGCTAGTTTTCATGCAGCATTTTTCATCAACTCAAAGCAAGATTGGTCTGAATGTGTTATAACTGTTACAGTTTCATGTTCCACTTTCACTCTCTGAAACAGTTTAAATGCCAGAATAATTGTCTGTTTCTTGGGGTGCCTGGGTGGCTCAGTCAGTTAAGCATCTGCCTTCAGCTCAGGTCATGATCCCGGGGTCCTGGGATATTGGGGTCCTGGGACCAAGCCCCACATCAGGCTCCTTGCTCAGCACGGAGCCTGCTTCTCCCTCTCCCTGCCTCTCACCCTGCTTGTGCCCTCTCTCTCTCTCAAATAAATAAACAAAATTAAAAAAAAAAAGAATTGTGTGTTTCTTAAAGATTTGAAAGAATTCCTGTATGAAACTGTCTGGCTCTGGTGCTTTATTTAGGCATGGATTACTCGGCATGTGAATGTTAATGGGAACTGTATTTTCAAGGTGGATTGTGTTTTTCATCATTATAAAGTGACCCTCACGGTCAGCCTGGTAATAAGGTTAAGGATGGTTTGGAGGGACTGGAGGCAAGGAGAAAAAGATTATTGCAGTGACCTGGACACAATGGGCGCCTGGGTGGCTCAGTTGGTTGGGCGACTGCCTTCGGCTCAGGTCATGTTCCTGGAGTTCCGGGATCGAGTCCCGCATCTGGCTCCCTGCTCGGTGGGGAGTCTGCTTCTCCCTCTGACCCTCCTCCCTCTCATGCTCTCTGTCTCTCATTCTCTCTCGCAAATAAAAAAAAAAATCTTTAAAAAAAAAATTTAAAAAAAAAAAGAGGGTCCAAGGTAGTAGTAGTCAGGAGGGGAACATGAATCAGATATAGAAACCGTCCAAGGAGAGGTTTCATCTTTCACTTTTCTGAGCAATCGAAGAAGTTATGTCTTCTTCCTGCAACTAGCTCCTCATCATGCATGCTTTGCTCCTGTTCTCCAACTGTCTCCTATTTATATGTCCTATCATCAACTAGATTGTTAGATTTTGTATCCTTTAAAGCCCACCCCTAGACACATACCAGTTAACTCCTTACATGATTGATTCATTCAATCATTACAACAGGATATTGTTAGAATGCTGCTCACCAGAATAAGGAAATTAGAGTATTACATGGTTTCTACATTAAAGTCACAAGATACCAAGGCAGAACTAACTATAAAAGAGTGAACTGAGCCACAATATAAGATGGCATCGACAGCCTTTAGAACTGGGTGGTAAAGGCCATCATTTAAGAAAACTCAACTACGATTAGAATGACCACAAATTCTGAGTCAGTTGCCAATCAATGAGGCTTTAACAGCTTCATGATGCTTCAATTCTCATGTCCACCTACTGCATCCCCCCTGACTGGTTACAGGGGGCTGAGTCTCAACCGACTCACCAAGTTGTCCAGCATCCTCATGAGGGCCTCAAACTCATGCTCCCCCAGCCGGCTCTTCTGCATAGGCCCAAAGGTGCTCCCTGCCCACTGCACGGAGCCCACTTCATGGGGTCGGTGCTTCTCCTGCTCCAGGAGGATGAGGTTCTCCGTTCCCCCAGCACCGGACAGGGCAGAGACCTACAGCAAAGAGCAGAAAGACCTCAGTGTGCATGCACGTATGTGTGTGTGTACACATGTCTAGAAATGTGAGTTGTATTTGGCTTTTTTCCCCCAGAAGAAAAGCTACTCCCAAGTTACTGGGCACATACCCACTTCCAGGGAAAGAGGTCTTAGCAGTTTCTTTCTTAATGCTAGTTCTTAGAGACTACAGAAGAGGAGGAAGCAGCAAGTGTTAAACCTCAAGAATAAAGCAATACAGAGGACTGAAAAGTTACCTGGGATACAGACCAACCTCAATTTGTGACTATTTCTGGGGAAGGTGGGGGTTAAGGTCAGGAAGGGCTCCAAAGGGGACTTCAGTTCTTGTCTATAATATTTTATTTCTTCAAGAGGAAAAGATCTGAAGTAAAAAGGCTTTTACTTTTTAAATCTGAGTGGTGGGTAGTGGGTGTATATTATTCTTCTGCATCTTTCTATGTGTTTGAGATATCTCCCCCTGCCTTTTTTTTTTTTTTTTAAGCGAAAAATCACTTGAAAGAAATAGGCTGGATCCTCGACCAATAAAACAGGAGAGTAGCCTGATGGCCTGAATGAACAGGTCTAAAGGGAGAACCCATCTTCTGCAGTGGTATTAGTCAGTTGAGGAAACACAGAAGAAGGAGACACCTGAAGGGCTGGTAATACACAGCCGGGCCCCGTGGAGGGAGACGCGGCTTCCCCAGTGCACTTGGGAGTATTTGCCCCACTGTCCAGGCTCCACGGCAAGGGGACAGAACAAGTGGCTACAGGCAATGGGCTTTGAGTATTAGGGCAAGAGGTGTGTATATACAGCAAGCGATTTTAGAATACTCCTAGAAGACATTTATTAATCTAACCAATCTCCTTATTTTCTAATTCCATATCCATCTAATGGTACCTTCTGTCTACTCCCTGAATCCAGCACTCAGATATAATTGGTTATGATTTGGTTTCCAGGGTGAGGCCAGCAACATTGAGCGAGGGTGGTTTCCCAGTCGTTTCAGTGGGAAGCCAGGTGTTCTGTGCTGCAATCTGATTAATATTTGATATCTCCTGTAAGCCTACTTATTACAGGAGAATGATCCAATTACATAAACTTCCAGTGTTCCAGTTTTTACTGAAAAGGTAAGGATGCAATTTAGCTTGCTGTCCAACATGAGTCTGTGAACCTGTGAGGATCCAGCACACACCCTGGAGTGTGTTGGATTCACCAGTGTAACAAATGGCTCCTATGGGACTTCCTGGAGGTCAGCCAGGCCACCTTTGCAAGGGTGAAGAGGAGGAAGCAAGAACACTCATTTTCCATACCCTCTTCATCCAAGGCATGCATCCAGTTGGAGGCTCCATTTTTATCTGGCAAAGATAAAGACTTTAACTTTCCACCAAAGCTAAGGGTCCTTGTCCAATATCCCTGGAGATAGTCAGCTCTACTATACTGTTGTCCAAATGTTAGAAGGGTTACAGTGAGTTGGTGTAGATTACACAGAATGCAAATCCACCTTTTTGCTATGCTCATTCACCAGTTCTGGTTCTGGCCTCTGTTGCCGTATTTTCTAATGCTGAAGTCCCTCACACGCACACAGGCTGAGCACGTGGGCATGTACTCTCAAAGGCAGTGAATCCCAGCTGGTAGGTCAATTACCTGGTTCATCCCAGACCCCCATCTGGCCAAGGCAGGGCTCCAGCCCTTGGGACCCTGGAACCCTGACTTGGAGTGCAGTCAGCTGATCTTTCCCACCGACCCTCATTTTCCCCGGAGGCAGTGAAACGTAGTGTTTAAGGACATGGATGCGGACACAGGCTGCCTGGTTTGAATCCTGGCTCTGCCACTTACTCGCTGTGTAATTTGGGGCAGCTATTTACCCTCTCTGTGCCTATTTTCTCATCTGTAAAATGAAAAAAATAGTAGTATCTACCTCGTGAGCATTATTGAAGGTAATATTTGTAAAGCACCTAGAATAGCACCTGGGGCATAGAGTGCCACATCAATGTTTATGATCAAAAAATTCCGAGGTTTTACTATGAAAGAAACAATGTGCCTAGTCATTCATGGAGGAAAGAACTGCCCACATCCTTACAAGAACTGTGCCTCCTCCCACCTCCCCCTTCCCCCATTAGTTTCCATGGCGATGGGTAGCAGATGGAGAAGAATTGCCTGAGCTTCTTCCCATCTGCCTGTAAGCAGAGCAGGGAGCTGCCTCTCTCAGCTGGGGATGACCCAGTTTCCTAGAACCCCAAACCGATGGAGAGCACTGAGAACACTGTCCCCAGGAGAATGGACTAGGCTTTTAGCCTTGAACCACTAAAATGACCACAGCCACGTTCATTTGTTTGCCAAGGTCACTGAGGGAGAAAAGTAGGCCCATGATGAAAACAGAACCTCAGTGCTGGCTGTTCAAGCAGAAATGAGCTGCCCAGGGCCTACCATCACAACAGCATCTGTAGACTGCTGGCCCATGGGGTCGCCCATGCCCTAAACCACCCACACCTCTGGTCTAATCTGGCCTGTTCTGCTTCCACACCCTCCAGCTTCCTTTCTCTCTAGAAGCCTCCCTGCTCCACGAGCTAAAAAAAAAAAAAAAAAAGCCACGGGAGCTTTTCTGGAGGTTATTTGCTTCTATCGCCTGATGCACTTTAACAAGGTCACATGGCAGTCCTGACTGAAAAGAAAGTGACAGCAGATAGGGCCGGGAGAAGCCGCTGGGGCTGTCGGGGCCAGTGGCTGGCAGCTCTGCTTTCATCTCCCCAGCAGCTAGGCGGCCGTCCTGCCTTTGGTTAAACTGTACGGAGGCCATTTTTCAGTGTGGAGCCTGGGACAGGTCTTCACCAACGTGGTGGGGGACACATGGGCATCTCTCTCCATTCATTTCCAGGCCACGCTGTCTTTGCAAAGTGGTAAGAGCTATTTTCTCATGGAAACCTCTTCAGAAGGAAGATGGGGAACTCGTTAGAGCACAGTTATGGGGAAAGAAAGTGGGCGTATCAGAGGCTCTGCCGGGTTCGAACAACAGTCGGGGTCAGAGCTCAGGGCCAGCGTCCCTGGGGCTGCATCAGGAAGGAACAGCCTTGATCCCAGGTCTACCTTCGGGGTCAGAGCTCAGGGCCAGCATCCCTGGTTGGGGCTGCATCAGGAAGGAAGTGCCTTGATCCCTGGTCTACCTTCTCCACCTTCTGTTATGACCACCACCATCTGGGGGGGTGGGGCAGTCTCATACCACTTCTAACACCTCTTCATCATTGTCTTAACAACTGTCCTCTCAACATATTCATTTAAAAACCCTTGAGAAAGGTGCCGCTTGCAGAACCTCCACTAGCTATGCCTCTGGGATTATCCCATTCTTTCCCCTGTCCCCTAACGCCCAAGACAAAGGCAGGCATTCCACCTGGGGCGCTGCTCTGCCCAGACCAGCCAGAAGAGGGCAGACAGGACACCAAAGAACCTTGCAAAGAGCTGACTCATCCTGGAGCAGTTAGCCTTCCCTTCTGTCAACTGACCCTAAAAATACCATCAGCAACACCTCTCCTTATCTGAAAGGACCCATCCTCACAAGGACCCCATAGGCCCCCCTTGTCCAGCTGAGGAAAGCAAGTCCCTGACCCAAAGACGCATATCCCAGAGCTGGGAAGGATGGAGTCCATTCAGTTTGCAAGGCCCCCTTACTCACCCCTGACAGCTTGCCACACTGAAAGGAGCATGTATTTTGCTTATGTAACACCACCTTGTTATCTGGCAAAACTATAGGATTTGTGTTTTCCTATTGCTTTTCCACCAATTCCTTTAGGGGTCCCATGATCACTGACAATCCCCATCTACCCTCCACCCCATCCCCTACTAGTTAGGAGAACCTCACAATGGGCTCCCTGGACATTACATTGGGGGTTCCCTGGTGTTCAGACTTGCCATGTCTAACTTCACCCCTTTCTGGGCTGGACCATGTTCATGGTCTTTGCAAACTACACCCTCCAGACAAAAAGAGAAAAGACCCACCTACAATGTGGTGTCTACTTGGCATAGCTAGATGTAACAGTTATACCCCAGGTAATACGTGAGCATGGTAAGAACTTTTACATCCCCTTTTACGGTTTCTCCCACTTTCCAATTGATGGGCCTACGCAGCTCCCTGTCCTGGGCACTGACCCCCAAGAGGTAGATACTGGTTGTTAGGCAACAATGATAAATATTTTAAAGCTACAAAACTGATTCTAAGTGCGAAACTTTAGAAGGATAAGGTGGTGCCAAGGCAGAGAAATAGGGCAAGGCTTTTAGATGGCTGGCTCCCAGGACTCCTTAAATCACGGCCAGTGGGGCCTCTGTCAGAGCCACGCCAGGGCCCACTCCCCAGTGGAACTTGCTCACCTGTATCTCACACGCAGCCTGCAGGTGGAAGACCTTATAAAACGCCTCCTCCACGGTGTCACCTAGAGCAACCACTCCATGATTTCTTAGCACCAGGATCTGCATAGGAGCAAACGGCCAATTAAAACTTCAAGCCTTTTAAACTTTAGTAAGAAGGAGAGATTTTTCATTTACTCCAGATCAGTTTCCATATCCAGTCCCAAAGCATGCCCCCAACTCCTTGTTCATTCTCCCCGTGCAAACACCCCAATGCTACCCTGCATGTGATTTTAACCCTAAGCATCCTCCCTAAAAAATAGAAGATGCTTTTTAAAACGGAGACTAGAGAGCTTGGTGGATCTCTTTGGGCAATACCTGGATTTTTAGGTCTTGGAGGGGTTTGAAGTCTGAAAAACTGGTGTCTGTGTTAAAGTGAATGAAATTACTTTGTGTCCAATAGGAGGGTCTAACCTCAAAAGCAATCTCTTGCTCCTGTGACTTAGTTGACTTGGAAATCAAAACCCAAGGCGGTGGCTCTCTGAGGGGTGGCTCTGCAGAAACAGGTGCATCATGTTACCTCTCTGGACTCAAGTCTCTTCTCCATGAACTCAGTGAGGCCCTGGTAGCTCTAAGACCCTCCACTTCTGTGAAGGAGGCCATAGTGACCTTCTACTCTTAACTCTCTGGTTTTGCAGAAGAGGAAACAGAAGCCTAAAGAAAGTGAAAGCCTCCCAGCTAATCAGGGGCAGAATTGGAACTAGAACCCAGGTGTTCTCACCATTGGTGCAACGTTTGTGACTCAGCCAGGGGCAGACAGACAAAAAGGGATGGGGGAAAGAAACAGAAATGAACTTATACAGAGCCTGACTCCCTAGAGTTCAGATGCAGAAACTGTTTCTTGGTTGGTTTTATCCTCATGAACTCTCTGAAACCAGACGCCGCCTACCTAGCAGCAGGGACACAGATCCATGTGTTGGATGTGTCCTTGCAGAAGTGGGCTGAGGCCTAGTGGTCTAATCATCACATCCTCTCTTGCTGAAAACAGCTGGAGGTTTTTCTTCTCAAGTGCCAGAGAACTAGAAAGAGATGATGACTCTGGCCTAAGAGATTTTGTAGATAGCAAATCTCTGAAATTCTTGTAGCATTTCATAGATGTGAACATCTCCTCCCTCTCCGTGCACCACTAATGAGGCTTTAAAGAATGTTGGGAGAGAGTGGCAGGGATTTCTCCTCTGTGTCAGGAACGGGAAGGCAGAGACTCTCCGACTGGAAATGATTCAGGCAGTGAGTGCCTTTCAAGGACGGGAACAAGCATCCATCAATGTAGGCTCAGCTCCAGAACTTCCCGTACTAAGCTGGCGACCCCTAATGATGTACTGTTAAAAAATAAGTCTTTAGATTTAAGCCAAACAATAGTGAGATTCTGTTCTTCTCTATCAAGTTAGCAAAGGAAAAAAAAAGTGGTAATACTCAAGTTTGGGGAGAGTGCAGGGAAGCAGCATTCTCATATACTAGACTATGGGGGAGGAAAGGGCAATGCGCCTGAATGAAGTAAGAGTTCTAAAATGTGTGTCCCTGGGAATTTATCCTAAGGAAATGATCTCAAGTATATACAGAGATTTAGCTAAAAGGATTTTCATCATGTGTTGTTTATATCAAGGAAAAATTCAGGGCCGGGGGGGACTTCCGGTGTCCCAATTTGTTAAGGTAAATGGTGGCACAGCCATTTACACAATGAGGTATAATCTAATAATTTAAAATAGTGACTTAGAGGGGCACCTGGGTGGCTTAGTTGTTAAGCGTCTGCCTTCGGCTCAGGTCATGATCCCAGGGTTCTGGGATCGAGCCCTGCATCGGGGCTCCCTGCTCGGCGGGAAGCCTGCTTCTCCCTCTCCCACTGGCTGCCACCCTGCCTGCTTGAGCTATCTATCAAATAAATAAAAACATTAAAAAAAATAAAATAGTGATTTAGAAAATATTTAATAACATACAAAGGTGTTTATTGGCTATTACTAAGGGAAAAAAGGAGGATATATTTTATGATCCACGTTTTCTAAATATATGTGAATATATTTGTGGAGCATGCACCAAAACCTCAGGATAGTGGGATAAAGAGAATTACATTTCACTTTTTTGTTTATGTGCAACTTCTAAACATTGTCCACTGAACACATGTCACTCATGATGTAGGCTTTGGACAATCCCACCCCAGAGTGTCTTCCTGAAACAGCCAAGCAAACCTTGCAGGTAGGTCCAAGGCACTTCTGCAGGCTGATTCGATCCGCTTCCTGCTCCATTCCACCATTGAAGTCATAATAGGCCATGTCCCCCACCAGCAGGGCATTGTGGGAGACAGGCAGGAGGCCACACTTCATGGCTGATACCTTTAGTGAGACAGTGGAATGGTTAGCACCTGCAGCTCCCCTACCCCGGTCTTTGCCCTTTCCTCAGAGTGGCACAGCCAGGCTCTACTCTGGGGACTAGTGCAGGAGAAAGCAAGCCCCCAAGAAAGGCACTGCCCTTTGACTCTGCTACACCAGGCTGGGCTCTGGCTTGCTGGCTGCTTCCTCTGACGTCTTTCCATCATCATTTTGACAGTAGCCATGTCAATATACCTCTCTCTAAAATTGCTACAAAGAATGCCTTTGAGAAAGCTAGTGCTCCTGCCCACCCCCTTGCTCTTCTCTCGTCCTAGGATTCTGGGAAAAGGTAGGGGATAGCAGAGTTGGCACCAGGCTGGAGTGAAGCAGGGTCCAGGATCCTCTGGGGTGAGCTGGTGGAAATCCTCAGCCTTGAGGTCAGGGCAGAAACAGGGAGGCCCACTGAGAGGCCCCCTTTCACTAGTGATAGGGCAATAAGAGTGCCAGGGAACAGGGTTAAAATCCATGCCTCAAATCCTGCCTTTTTTAAAAAGCAAGGAGCAGGGAGAGGTTTAGGAGAGCCTCCTGCCTTTGTTCCCTCATTCTGTCCCATATTCTGGAAAATCTGAGTGCTCATAACTGGTGTGCTTCACAGAAAAAACCCAGGCCAATGACAAGTCCGCTCTGCTCCTATAGGTGTTAAGGTCTGGAAGTCAGTAAGATGGGTTGAAGGTTGAGGGGACACCCAGACCTGCTTGGTTGTGGTCTTTCCAAGTGACACTGGAGTGCCTAAGGTACACATGGAGAAATTACCAGAGCCTCTTAGGGGACAACCTGATCCTTGAGGGTATTCCTTCTACTCTCGCTGAGTTTTCCTTGCTCCTGTCCCCAGCTCACAGCCCACCCTGGGTTATGAAAAGTGGACAAGTCCAGGTTCCCACCGTCTTATCTTTTATCACGATCTCTCCTCACCAGAGCCTGGGCTGGGGGTGGGGGTTGGGGCAGGCACCAGCTTTCAGTCCGAGAGGACTGATCTGAGTGGAAACTCAAGAGGTGCCGTCACTTGGGTAAATGGTGCTTATGTGTGTGTGTAGCAGGGTGGGGGACGCAGCAGAGCAAACACTTCATATCTTTGCCTCATGTCCCCAAACCAAGACTTCTGTGCTTGGAAAAATGGAGAGGATTAGGGTTACCACATGGGGTGTTCCCTCTCCTCACCTTGGCTTGAGTTCAGGAAATTTTTCCAGAACTGTTTTAAATAACGAGATTGCCACTAGCTTGGGGGGCTTACGTCTTTCGTCAGGGAGCACCTCAGAGAAGGGGGTAGCACGGGTTTGCTACCAGCCTCAGGGACGGAAATGCTGCCCTTAGAGCGGACACTCACGGCTGCCGTGGCCGGCGTGTGCAGGTGGATGATGCAGCGCACATCAGGTCTGGCAGCGTAGATCGCCGAGTGTAGACAGAAGCCTGTGGTATCCACTGGGAAGCAGCTGCTGCCCTTCTCCACCACCTCTCCCAGGATGTTCACCTTGATCTGAGCCGGGGAAGAGAAACTTATGGCCACAAGGCAGGTGGGGGCCCTCAGGACCCTCCTGCAGGTGGGTCACACCCACCGCCTCCAGGCATTCCCACACCCCAGGAGCGAGGGCTGTGCTTGGTGTTGAGAGAAGAAGAGACCGGGTTCCTGCTTTTGGTGAGGACACAGGCTAACAGGAGACATGACTGATTATAATTCAGCAGGGAAAATGCTAGAGCAGATTTTCTCAAACTTGACTGGGCATAAGAATCCTCTGGAGATCCTGTCAAAATACAGATTCTCTGCAAACTGGTGCAACCACTCTGGAGAACAGTATGGAGTTTCCTCAGAAAGTTAAAACTAGAGCTACCCTATGATCCAGCAATTGCACTGCTGGGCATTTACCCAAAGGATACAAAAATACAGCTTTGAAGGGGCACAACAGCCAAACTATGGAGAGAGCTCAAATGTCCATTGACTGATGAATGGATAAAGATGGGAGGGGTGTGTGTGCGTGTGTGTGTGTGTGTGTGTGTGTGTGTGTGTGTGTACATACAACTGCTGGTGGCTCTGGCTGGTCCCACATACAGTAAGGCTGTGGTATTCTCACACACACACACACACACACACACACACACACACACGCACGCACGCACACACCGGAATACTACTCAGCCATCAAAAAGAATGAAATCTTGCCATTTGCAATGACATGGATAGAGCTAGAGTGTATTAAGCTAAATGAAATAAGTCAGTCAGAGAAAGACAAATACCATATGATCTCACTCATATGTGGAATTTAAGAAAGAAAACAGATGAACATATGGGAAGAGGGAGGAAAAAAAGAGAGAGGGATTCTTAACAATAGAGAATAAACTGCAGGTTGATGGAAGTAGGTGGGTGGGGGAGGGGGTATATGGGTGATGGGTATTAGAAAGGCACTTGTGATGAGCACTGGGTGTTGTATGTAAGTGATGAATCACTGAATTCTACTCCTAAAACCAATACTGCACTGTATGAAAAATGCAGATTCTGATTCAGTAGGCCCAGAATGGGACCCGAGAGTCTGCATTTCTGACAAGTTCCCAAGAGATACCCATGCTGCTGGTCCACAGACCACACCTTGCGTAGAGAAGCTAGAAGAGAGTCAGTCACAGAATTCTCTAGAAGCAGATGGGAGGAGTCTTTGATCCCAGTAAAACAGGGGGATCAGAGAAGCCTTCCCAGAGGAAGTAATATCTAACCTGAGCCTTTTTCTTTTTTTTTTTTTTTTACTCTTTGTTTTGAATTTTTAAGCAAAATACGCAAAGGTAAAGATAATAGTAAAATAAACACCCATTTACCAATCACCCAAAAGCTAGATCTTAAAGGACAGGTAGAAACTAGTTACTGGTCTTATAATCCGCTTTTGATGCCAAGGAGCTAGTAGTAGGTGTCATGGTTAACAATCACACACTGTGTGTGTGTGTGTGTGTGTGTGTGTGTCTGTGACTGTTATCACTCACCCACTTACAATGCTTCAGCAGCTCTGCATGTCCAGCAGAGTAAAGCCAAAGCACCATAACCATGCTTTTGGTGCCATTTTTTCATCTGGTCCCTATCCCCTCCCCAGCCTCACTTTCAGACACTGAATACGTGAGCCAGACGTGGCCCCTCACTGTCCTCCCAAATGCATCAGGATGTGGCATGTGCCTGGCTTTGTGTGAACTGTCCTCCCCCTGCTGAGGACAGAGTTCTCTCTGCCCAGTCTCTCCCTACTGGCCTGGTCTAAATCTGCTTATCCTGTGGGCTTCTGGGGACTAAGGTCCTTCACCATCAGGTTAACACACATGCTCTTCCCTTGCCCCTGCTAGGCCCAAGCACCTTTTCTGGGTTCCCCAAGTTTCCTGCTGTATGGCAGCCTTCTTCACTCTGAGTTGAATCATTGCTTGTCTTGCCTGCTCCCCAACTTGCCACAAATGCCTTAAGGCAGAGCTGGTGCCTCCTTGTGTCTTTGACCCTAATCTGACTTGGCCATGACCTCCTTAGGTGGCCCTGTGCAAGTCACTTACCTCCCTGGGCACCAGCATCCTCTCCTGCTTATAAAGTGGCCTTGGCAGCCCTCGAGGTCTACCCTGCCCAGATACTCTGTGACTTTGTCAGCTGGCTCTTTTAACTGCATACGTGGAATCAACATGTGAGTGTGTGTCAAGCCTGGCAGAGGCCCTGAGTTGGTACCCTCTGCCCTCAGGAGTACAGCGCAGCAGCCCACACATCTAGGAACCACAGGGCCTCTTCTGCTTGTAAGACAGTCCTTTCTACTTCTTTCCTCCTCCTACCCAGGAATCTTTCCTATCAAGACCAACTTCTGGAAGTTTCTTCCTACTACACCTAAAAGGAGCAAGAGAACGAAAAGGGGTTCCAGAAAGCTATTGCTAATGGTACCAGCACTAAGCCAGTCTTCCACTGCTTTGAGACAAAGCACTGGCTGTTATTCTAATATATTCCCCAATCTAGGAAGGCCTCCCCATTCCCAGACTTCGGGGTCCAATCCCAGGCACAGAGAACCTCAGGCCCAAATCCTCCCCCTCCTACCTCCTACTGCACTTGCTGCCTGCACCTCATATTTGGTCTCATGGTTGGGTTGTGCTATGGGTATTCTGCTTTGGGGCCATGTGTCTTCTCTGCCCCACTAGACTGCAAGCTCCACGAGGGACAGGACGGCAGTGGCTAATCTGAAGATGACCTGTCACTGTAGGCTGCTGTTGTTTCAATAAGCAATGGGCAATGAGATGCCCGACTATACTTACCAGGCTGGATGCAGTGACTTCACTGCAAGAAACTCCCTTAGGGCTAATCAGGAAGTGATCCTGCTCCTTGCTGACTCTCAGCTGGAGGGAAGACACATGTTCTCAGTGGCAAGGAGACAGAAGGGTTATTTCCAAGAACACTCTGCTTGAATCCCCACTTCCCCTGAATCCACTGCACCTAAAACTCACACCCAAAAACCCTTATCTCCCCCGCAGCACACGAAAGATGAAGAGGACCTGGCCTTTATTGGAACTGGGGCAATGGACCTACAAGAGGAATCTCCCAGTGATCAAGGGTAGCCCTAGAAATAGGATCCAGGAGTTCTTAGCTCCTTATGCAGGGAAGTGGCCACAGGGAAGGTTGTCTATTTCAGGTGACCACAGTGGTTAGAAATGTTGGAAGGGCTCAGTGCATGGCCATGCCGACAGGCAGGAGCTCTCTCTTGGGAATTTGTCAGGGCCACATGCAGTACCCACCCCACTCCAAGATGCTCTGCTCACCGTGACATAGGTGTCGCTCAGCTGGGCCCAGCCATAGAGGTCTAGGAGACGGTACACGCTGCTAATCTTGCACCGCATGAGCCTCTCCCCCTTGGCCAGGTTCAAGGGGTCAGCTGTGTGGAGGTCATTGATGGGCGTCATCATGGAGAAGTCTGCAGGGAAACAGGGTGGGGACAGGGCAGCTCTCAGGGTCAGGGCTGCTGTCTGCCCCCCTTCCTTCCTCGCCCTAGTCCTCTCTAAATTCTGATACTACAACTGCACAAGAGACTTCCACAAGCAGGGAATTAAATATTCTTTGGCCCTCATCCAGGGGGAGAAAATCCATAGAATGGATAGTTGTGCCCAAGAAAGTCTTCTGCTTATTCAGATAAAAATGGCATTGCTTTTGGTCAAAAATCATGGCAAGATTCAAACCACAGAATGAAGTGTTTTCGGGATGTCAAGCTCAAAATAAACCCTTAAGATGGACGTTGAATAAAAGCAAGAATAAGTTTCTGAGTGGAAATATAGGTATATTTCATCAGTTAGTTTTGATGAAGAAGATACTAATCATTAGACCTGCTATTGTTTATTGTTTTAAACTATACCATGTAATATAACTTTTCCTCTGCTTTGGAAACAGAGCAAATCAGGAAGTCAAGTCAGTCAGGAAGTAAATTCCTCAACTTCTTCTGACAAGTCATAAACTTCCAGAAGTCAGTGTGGTTAGCTGAAGGGCTTCAGGCTTCGGGCAGGCCATATCTGCTCCCCTCTGGATGTGCAGTCCCTTGATTAGTTATGATTCTTTCAGGGAATTTGGGGAGATATGGAAGGGATCTGGAAATGGGCCTAGAGGGCTTGATGGTCTTATCTTCAGGGCACGTAAGGGGTCTAGGAAGTGGTGTCCAGTCTATCCCATTAAAAATGGTGACCGCTCCCTGTGTGCCTCCAGAAGGCATAAGAGGGCATCTGAGCCCCAGCACTTCCAATTAGTCAGTGTCTAGAAACCAATAAAAGAATCAATAGGAAAGGGTTCTGGCTTAAAATGATGTCTGGCTGGGAACCTCCTGATGCTGCCTCTCCCAGCATCCCACTAAAAACTTTAATGGATTAAATGCCTTTTAGAAGCTTCCACCATCTCAATAAACTCGCTATTACACACTGTGATATCTGTCCTGCATCAGGTTTGCCATTAGCTGAAATGATGAGATGGTCTACAAAGGTGAAGGTGGACCTACAAAGGTGCTGTTGGGCCTACATAAAGCAAGCAGAGCAAACCTCGAAACACCCATGTCAGGAATATAAACCCAAAAAGCTTGTGCCCACCAGAGGAGGGATACCTCCAGGGCATGTGCCCAGGAACTGTAGTTGACAGAGAAAGAAGTGGTCCAAAGGCTCAGTGGAACTGGCAGAAATAACAACGACGAAATTCCAAAGTCAGCAATTTCTCATTGGAATTGACCATTCTGGTATCCCTTCCTCCTCTCTGTTCATTCCCCAGACAAGTAATTACCTCTTTACTTCATCCCTAGCAGCAAGAAGGAAGGCATATCAAGAGCATAAGCCTGCCAGACAAAGCTGGGCAGCGGGAGATAACGGGAGAGGGTCTTCAGACTGAGATTTCTTTAATTCCTTCTCTTACAAATAACTAGGGAATCCCAGGGATGGCAAGGAGGCCAGAATAGGTCTAAAAACATGCCATCCCATCTTTTGTGTCCTGTGTCAGTGTCCCCCTCCCCCACTCTGTGGAGCTTTGCTGAAAGGATTACCCCACCTGCAGACCCAGGGTGGGAGAAGAGATCAGAAGGCTCCACGAGCACCCCAGAGCCTCTGCTCTCAGGGTTTTAAGAGAAAGAATGCTTATAAATTAAGATGACTGAACGCCAGGTTTATGACTCAGATCTAACCAAGCCATTTACTCAAGGGACCTAAGAAAACACAGAAAAAGATGAAAACTCCCCGACCGCCCCCAGGAAAGCTAAGACTGAAGGACACATGATTGCAAAAAAAAGAAACCAAAATAAAAATACAAAACAACCACAAAATTCTAAGGCAAATGGAGCTGGACAAAGAACAACCTATCTGCTCTTGAACTCATGACTCTTGGAACTTCCCCTCTCCACATTCCCTGACTCAGATACCCTGGACATGCCCTAATCAGATTTTCAGACATCCAACTGTCTTCCTGACAGATGCTGGTTGGTGAGGCAGTGGGAATGCTGGTCAGCTCTATTTCTCTTTCAAAAGAAAAAGTATAAGGACGGAGACATGAAAACGATGAGAAAGAATAGGATAGCTAACGGAGACAAAGACCAGAGAGCTGGCATATAAATAATCGGCACTCACATAACAGAAAACATTTCTGAACTGAAAAACAGACCTGTGTAAATAAATTATAAGGATTTATTACATTCCACAGGAAAAAGTCCATAAAGAGGAAAAGCCTACAGTTATATGCTTCCTGGCACATTTCTGAAATACAAGGATAAGGGGGAAAATGCACAAACATCTACCAAAAAAAATGTTGGTTACCTACAAAGGAATGAAAAAACCCCAGCTGTTTCAGATTTCTCTGCTATAGCAAGAGATGCCAGGAGACAATGCTATGGGAGGGTTACCAACAAACAACACTAAAATAAAGTGACATGAAGCAGGTAAAAAGAAAAGAATCATCAGAAGTATGCCCAGCAAATATAAAGAAAAAAATAAACAGAGGTCATAATATCATCAAAGTAGAAATCAGGGAAAGCCATATTCCCTTGGAATATTCATCCCTGGCAGCAAGAAGGGAGGCAGAGCAAAAGCATACGCCCCCCTAGACAAAGCCAGGCAGCAGGGGCCATGGTTGGGAGGGGCCACTGTGGAGGTCATTTTACATGAATTAAACATATAATCCATCATGAGGCTATAGCTATAAAGAACATTTACGCTTTGAATAACATTTCCTCAAGATACAAAGCAAAAGCTACCAGAAATACGAAGAGAAATGAACACTGATTAAATATACAGTGGAAGACAACACGACTCTCAGTTTCTACAAAATAAAAAAAATAAATGAAGATACAGATTAAATACTATGCACTGGAGATAGAGTCTCTGCCTACATATCATTCAAAAATGATATTATTAGGCCACAGAGAAAATCTCAATAAATTCTCAACATAGACATTAAATAGGTGACGTTTTCCAAACACAATGCAATCAAACTAGATGTTATCAACAAACCCTTAAAACATTACAAATTCAATCACTTGGAAATGAGAAAACACACTTCCAGATAGTTCTTAGAATAAAAATAAAATCAAAACAGCAATTGCAAACTATCTAGAAATTAACCATAAAGGAAATATTGTGTCAAAATGCATGGAATAAGATGAAACTTACACTCAGGGAAAAAAATTCATAGTCTAAAATGTCTTTGTTATTCAATTAAATATGAAAATAAAGCATCCATTTTATTCTACTCTAGAAAACATAAAAATAACAAAATAAACCAAAGAAAAGTTATGGAAAAGAATTAGTGAATAGAAAAACAAGATCAATGAATCAGGAAACTAGAAAATTAGTAGAACTAATATAGAAATGCAAGAATTGGCTTATGTGAGAAGATCTATAATTAAACCAACATCTGGATTGGCATAAAAGAAAACGGGAATAATAAAAAACTAATGATGTAATGTATAGTGATTAACATCACATAATAAAAAAAATATATTGCCAAAAAAGAAAACGGGAATATACAACACCAGGAATGAGAATGGGATGTCTTCTCATTCACAGCAGAAAGTTTAAATGATAGAAATAATACTGTAAATCACTAATAATTTTGAAAATCTCCATGAAATGTATTATTTATTTAAAACATATGATCAAAATTTACTCAAGAAGCAGCAAATAAATTTTTTAAAAACCCTAGATGAAACTGAGAAAAATAATGTTATAAAAAATGTTCCAGATCTGGATGGCTTTCCAAGTGAGTAATAAACCTCCAAGGAAGAAAGACTTCCTATCTTATTTAAATTCTATCAGGACAAAGAGAAGTATGAGGTTCACCTTGATTTATCCTATGAAATTATAGCCTTAAAACAAATACTAAATGAAGACTGCCCAAAAAGTGAATTTCTGACCAATCTCACGTATGAATATGCAAATCCTGAATAAAAGTCTAGCAAATCAAATCTAGAAGAGTATTTTCAAAAGGATGCATCAAGAGCAGGAATGACTGATTTCACAAAAGAAAAAAGAGTTCAATGTTCAGAAATCTATTAATATAATTCATCACAGCAATAGTTCAAAGAAAGAGAAATCAATAAATGCCCAAAATGCATTTTATAAAATTCAACATCCATTTCTGAGAAGAACCCATATTGAACTAGAATAAAAAGATACTTCCTCAACATGATACGAACTCAAATTCTTGTGGTAAAGGATTTCTATTAAAGTCAGAAACAAGACAAGGACGATTACTCTCTAATCTATTATTAAACATTTTTTCTGAGGGTTCTAATGGACGCAGTGAGAAAACTGGAAAAAGAAATCAAAGGGTAAATGTTGGAATGAAGGATTCAAAATGACCATTATTTGCAGGTTATGTGATTTTTCTATATACAAAACCCAAGAGAATTAACTGAGAAGCTATTAGAATTTAAGAGTTCAATAAGAAGCTACTTTCCCTGGATGACAGCTATAATCAGAAAGAAAATTGAATGGAGGAAAAAAATCATTTAAAATAACAAAGTTAGGGGTGCCTGGATGGCTCAGTCATTAAGCATCTGCCTTCGGCTCAGGTCATGATCCCAGGGTCCTGGGATGGAGCCCTGCATCAGGCTCC